TGGTCTGGGGGTGGTTTGGGGGGGCGGTGGGTGGGCGGTGCGGGGGCCAGCAGCTGACACAGTGGCTTTGACACTCATGACCAGGAGGCACTGGGGACAGGCGCAGGCGGGGACCGGGGGGGCTGCTGCCGCCCCAGGGCTGGCCGGCCAGGACTGGGACTTGGGCAGGGTGCCCGAGACCAGCGGGTAGACCATGTCAAGGCGGCGGCGGACACGGCGCTTGCGCTGGGTCTGCCGGTTGATCTGACCCATGGTGGCAAAGTCGATGACATAGCAGAAGCCAATGGCGCTCAGGTCCACCCAGGGGTGCTGCTTCTCATAGGCGCGCTGGATGGTGATACCCACGTCCATGTCGTAGGGTGTCCATGACCCGCTGTCATTCTCCCACTCCCACACGACTCCCTTGCCTGGTGCTGACGATGGGTCGTAGTAGCTGCGCCGGACAGGGCGGATAGTGCCTGAGGGAGGGTGAGAGATGCTGTCAGACTCTGGCGCCAGGACCCACCTGTGGGCAGGGAGCGAAACCACCCCAACCTGCCCCGCCGGTGCTGTTCAGCACGGGGACAGGATGACTTTCTGGCTCAGCAGTTGTCCCTGCCCTGCCAGGAGACTGGTGTGCCTTGGTTTCTCCAGGCCACTGCCTGCAAGCCGCACTGCTGCTGGTGCACCCAAAGGGCCAGGGAGCCCCTGGGCTGTACATGCACGGCACTGGGGTGCACCCCCAGTGTGACCGGGGTGAGGGAAGGGCAGATTTCACCCCCATCAGTCTACGGGGGTGGCCGCCCTCCCAGCCCCAGCATGCAGCTGCTCAGTCCTGATGGGGAAACACAGAACCACAAGCTTGGCCACTCCAACCTGCTCCCAGGGACCTCCTGCGAGAGCCTGATGAAACCAGGCATGTAGGCACCGGACTCCTGCCAGAGACGGCCCTGTCCCCCTCTCAGCTCTGGACCGGGATGGGGGAATAAGATTTAAGGGGCAGCTCTGAGCCCCGCAGAGGTGACATGCACAGGCACCCATGTGTGCAGCGGAGCAGGGCTTGTGCCAGCCCCATCATCTGCAGCTGCCAAACTGGCCTGCGACAAAAACCCAGCCCGTGGCAGAGGGAAAATCCCCGCGACGCCAAGCAAAGGAGTTTGAGTGGGGCCCTGTGCCCGGCTCCTGCTCCCCCATCAGCAAGCGTTAAGAGTGGGATGAGAGTGCAAAGCATGAAGGCTTTGTGGCTTGCATCCTTATTTTTGCTAGGCGTTTCCTTTCCCACCGCTCCCAGTTGACTAGGATGCATTCAAAGCACGGACGCAGATTTTAGAAACTCCTACAATGAGGAGAAAGCCTTCCTCTTTGGGACGTTTCACGGCACAGCAGGGCAGGCTGAACATGGCCAGGCTCAGCCTCAGGGTCCCATCCTAAGCATGCTACTAGCACCCAGAGTTGTTTGGTTAATAGGTGGGATGAGCTCACGAACATAGCCTCCATGCTCTTCTGCAAAACCCCATGGCTCGGCCCCCCTGCCAGCGGTAGAAACAAGAAATGTCAAAGAGAAGAAATAATAAGCCTGCTTCTTCAGCTTTTCACCACGTGTCTTGCAAAGCCTGCAAGAATTTCACTCCCTTTTCGCCCCCACCTCTCCGCTGGGAGCAGCCACCACCATCAGTCCCCACACAGGACCATTTCCCAAGAAAAAGAGCTAAAAAGGAAAAGCTGTTTATTAGCACTAATGACAGGCACACATCAAGCACCCTGCTATGGAGAATGGGGTGCAGCTGCACCCCAGGCAAGCCAGGCCACCCATCCCCATCCTGCAAAGCGACACCCGGGGGAGAAAAGCTGCCGGCATTGGCGGCACAAAGCGGGGCCGGAGGGGAGCGGGGTGGTGATTTATCCTAATCCGGCGCAAGGCGGGGAGGGCAGCAGTGGCGGCATGCAGCATCTGGCGGTCCCCGGGCGGCGGTGTGGGAACGCCGTGCATTCCCCCAGCCCAGCGCAGCCAGCCGGCCTCCCATTCAGCAGGGGAAGAAAAGGGACAATAGCTATTCAGGGCCTGCCAGGGTCACGACCCCCCCAAATCAGAGCTGTTTAATGACCCAAAATACCAACATCCCCAGCAACCCAGGGAGAGACAGAACAATCCCCCTTTCAGGCCTCTTCCCCGGGTGACAATAGCCCTCAGAGGCTGGCCCCCAGCCCCGCCGCAGAGGTCCCTCGTCTCCACACCCCCAGGCAGGGAAGGGTCCCCACCAGCCCCCAGAGCTGCTGGGGGAAAGAGGACAAAAGAGGGTGTCCAGCACCCTGCTGCACCCAGCACCCCCTGTCCCAGGAACAAGGGGCACTGGCTGGTCCCCTTCCCATGGCCATTACGGGTGTGTTTAGGGTGCACAAATCCCCTGTGCCAACCTCTCCCCCATGGGTGCCTGTGCCCCACATCCCAGACACCCCCAGGGCCATACATACCCCACCACCTTGGGAATCCCTCCACAACCCCACCACCGTGGGGATCCCCATGCCTGCTCATTGCCCCCCTACCCCCGAATAGCCCCTTTACCCATCCAAGTCACCACCCTGGGGACCCCCGACCTGCCTGTGCCCTCCCTGAGCATCCCCCCACCTGCGTGTGCCCCCACCCTGGGCACCCCCATGGGCTGCCATGACCCAGGGCAGGATTTGGCCCCCAAGCACCGTACAGCACTGGGCCTTTGGGGTTGATGGCGGCTCAGGGGTAGCAGAGAGGGAGCTGGGCATGGTGGGGCAGGATCCTGGGAAGGGTCTGCAGTGGATAAGCTCCGCACATGAAGGGACTGCAGGCCAGAAGACGAAAAGGCCGTAGTATGCAGTAGGGCCCAGGGAGGTGCAGCAGGGAGGAGGCTGAGCAGCACAACCCTGTAAGGGACCACAAACACATGGGCAGGGCCAGGCAGCATGGGACACAGCAAGCACCTGGGGACCAGGTGGGATGGCATAACGCAAGCTGGCAGCGGGCAACCCTGGGCAGCGTGGGCTTGGGCAGCACCGGTAAGGGCTGGGCAGCAGTGTGGGACTGGGCAATGAGGAGCAGAGCTGTGCAATTCCAGGGCAGGCAGAGCAGGGCAGTGCAAGGCAAATCCAGATGTAGTATAGGACCGGGCAATACAATCCAGGATCAGGCAGTATAATGCAGCGCAGCACCCAGCAGCACAGCGCAGTACAGCCAGCAACATGATGGCAGAGCAGGCGATGGGACGTAACGCAGAGCAAGGCAGCACAATGCAATATGGGACTGGGAAAGGCAGCGCAGTACAACCCAGCTCCAGATCAGGCAGTGCAATGCAGTATGGGACCCAGCAGCACAGCATTGTGCAACACCGTGCAATGCAATTCCAGGTCAGGCAGCACTGTGCAATACTGGACCTGGCAGCAAAGCGCTGCATGGTGCAACTCTACACCAACCAGTGCAATTCAGTAAGGGACCTGGAAATACAGAGCAAATCTAGATCAGTCATGTCAGGCAGGAAAGCACCGGACCAGGCAGGGCAGCACAGGGCCTAGCACCAGAACCCCATGCAGCGCGGTGCAGTGAGGGACCAGGACACGGCAGCGCTGGACAGGACCCGGCGGCACGGTGCGGTGCAATGCAACTGCAGAGCAGGGAGCACGAAGCAGTGCGAGACCACGCAGGGCTGGGCAATACTGCAAGGCACAGCACGGTGCAATGCAACTCTAGAGCAGGGAGCACTGTGCTGCACGGCGCCGAGCAACGCAAGGCCAGACCGCGGAGCCCGGTGCAACGTGCAAACAGGCAGGGCTGCGTGGCACCCGGCGATGCAAAGCAGCGCAAAGCAACGCAATCGCAGCCCGGGGAGCCCGGCGCAGGGCCCGGCCGGGCCGGGCAGGGCAGGA